TAAACCAGAGCCAAGACATCTGTCATACAACCCTGCACTCAATGTTCATACTCAAAAACAAAGTATCACGCTCTCCCATTATCTCCTGCACCAAATGGGTATAACAGCAGAGTGGCAGGTCTTGTGTAAATATTCAGTGTCTTCTGAGGCGTTAAGTCAGGGCCTCGACTTGAAGCACGAGTCAATTTACATGGGTGTATCTCATATCCAACATTAACTGCAGCACACCGTGGAAACATGACATTCAACTTAATGTTGCTGTGTCAGGATGTTCAAACAATCAATCAACCAATCTGGCTTATAAAAGTCATTTTATAATGTAAAAAAAAAATCAGATTTTCTACAGATTTGTTTGTACTTATAGTTTTCTTAAAGGGACAGTTCACCCAAGAACTACATTTTGTCATTATCTACTCAACCTCAAGTCGTTCCAAACCTGTATGACTTTTTTATGCAAAATCAATGATTCTTTCATTTTGTAGAACATTTTTCTTTAAAAAAAAAATCTTCTTTTTTTGTGTTCCACAGAGAAAACAAGACATGCGGGTTTGGAACGGCATGAGGCTAAAAATTCGGAGGGAATTTTCTTTTTTCTTTTTATAAACCATCCCATTCACCTGGGATAGAAAAGAATACAGTATTGTAATATCTTGACACAGGTCATATGCTCGCCTACAGAGCCTACTCGAGTTTAGCTGAGATCTGGGCCAGTTGATGGTATTGCCTCCCCGATTTAAATGTCTCCCTGTGGTCACAGTGTTGGGCATGACAGTTCCTTTCTCAGGGAGAGCAACATATATAACAGTATCATTATGTGCAGACTGGGAGGGTGAAGTTGGTGAGTGGTGCTCTCCCACAATGAAAAACAGAAAGACAGGAGAAATGATGAGTGAGAAAGACAGAAAGAGAGAAATATGCAGCCAAAGTCTGGCACTAAACACGGATGTGTGTGATCCAGAGCAGCGTCCAGGAACTCGAGTTAAAGCCTTCACTATATGAAACATCAACAAAGACAGAGACCCAGGGCTTTTCTAGCACTTAATAGAAACATCTGACATGCATTAGCACTGACATTCATTGACATTCATCTGGCATGAAGATGAATAGACAGGGCCGGTCCAGCATGATCTGTGCTGCCGAGAAACACGGCCCGAGGAGACATTCAGCTGGATAGATGCATGCGTGATTATAAACATCAAACTAATGTATTGAAAAAGAAAGTGACTTAGGTGGTAGGGAAAATATAATACATTGTGATGCTATGTTGAAATCTGGATTTTTTTTTTGTAGCATGGTTTGTCACAAACATGTAATGAGCACACACAAAGTACATGAAATGTATGCTTAATCATATATGTATTATGTTTTGTGTGTTGTTAATTGTTTTTTGTGATTGTAATTGCGAGACCAAAGACCAATTTTCAGCCAAGGCTGAACAATAAAGGATTACTTACTTACTTACTTAATACATTCAGACAGCTGCATGCTGATAGCATTCATTTGCTGAAGCAACTACCCCCTCTAGTGTTTAGAAATTAAGTTTTTCAACAGCTCTGAATTTTAAGTTGATCTTGAGTTTCTATAAATCCCTTTAGGTTTCTTATAATACGGAAGCCCATTTCTACCACATAAGAAAACAAATCATGCTTTGGTAAATCACAAATAAGAAATTGAATTTGAATTAAGTCATTATTGTGACATAAAAATTAGAAAGTGTCCGGCTTCACAGACTTAGATTAAGCCAGGATTAGGCCTTAGTTAAATTATTAATAATAATAATAATAATAATACATTGCATTTATATAGCGCTTTTCTCAACACTTAAATTGCTTTACATATGGAAGGGGGAATCTCTTTGAACACTCGTAATGTGGCAGCCATACAGTGGCAGAACGCCCACCACACACCAGCTTATAGGTGGAGAGGAGACAGAGTGATGAAGCCAATCAGTATGTGTGGGGATGATTCGGAGGCCATGATGATGGACAGAGGCCAATGGGTAAATGTGGCCAGGATACCGGGGTTAGACCCCTACTCTTTTTTCGAAGGACATCCTGGGATTTTTAAAGAGTCAGGACCTCAGATGAATGTCTTCTCCGAAGGAGTCAAGAACGGTGCTTTTTGACAGTATAGTGTCCCCATCACTATACTGGGACGTTAAAGGGATAGTTCACTTTGAAATTAATTTTTGATATGTTTTAGCTTACCTCAAGGGCATCCAAGATGTAAGTGTCTTTGTTTCCACAGTATTTTCAATTTTGATATTTTCAATTCTGTCAGTCATATAATGGCAGTTTATGGGGTCTAACCTGGGTTCACCTCAAAGAGCATGCACAGAAACAACAGTCCAAATGAAACATGATTTAATGACTAGTCAAGTCAAGTCACATTTATTTATATAGCACTTTTCACAATACAGATTGTATCAAAGCAGCTTCACAGTGATAACATGAAAGTAGTACAACACAGATCAATAATATTGCTAAACACTAAATAACCCCAACTGAGCAAGCCAAAAGCAAGGCGACAGTGGCAAGGAACCAAAACTCCATCAGATTGGATGGAGAAAAAACCTTGGGAGAACCCAGGCTCAGTCGGGGCCAGTTCTCCTCTGGCTTACATTAATATTGTTTATATATAAATATTAAATATAAATATTGTTTATGTATGACTACTAAATGTTAGTACACATTGATGGCCTAAGACACGAAACGAGTGATTTGTGTGAGAAAACGAACAGTATTTATGTTGTTTTTACCTCTTGTAATCATAGCCACGTCCAAGTGATCTGAAGGCACGGGCGCTTCGTTCTGCACAAGAGCCGGAAGTGATCGCTTGCACGGTTGCGGAAAAAAAACGCTTGTGCAGATAGAAGCGCCTTCAGAGTACTTGGACGTGACTGTGATTACAAGATGTAAAAACTATATAAATGCTGTTTGTTTTCTCACACAAACCGCTCGTTTCGTGTCTTAGGCCATCAATGTGTACTTACTTTTACGAGTCATTTTGTTTAATTTTGACTTCTCTGTGTATGCTCTTTGTGGTGAACCCAGGGTAGACCCCATAAACTTCCATTATATGACTGACTAACAAGAATGGTTTGACCTAAAAATGTCAAAATTGAAAATACTGTGGAAACAAAGACACCTACATCTTGGATGCCGTTGAGGTAAGCTAAAAGATATCAACAATTAATTTCAAAGTGAACTATCCCTTTGAGACCCACACAGACCACAGGGTGAGCAGCACACTCTGCTGGCATCACTAACATCTCTTCCAGCAGCTACCTGGTTTTCCCTAGAGGTTTCCCATCCAAGTACTCTCAGGCTCAACCCTGCTTAGCTTCAGCAGGCAACCAGTCTTGGGTTAAATGGCTGATGGCATAGTGCATTTTAGTAGTCTTTTATAAATGTGCCTTTGAGAAAAATAAATATTACTGGTGTGCATATGTATGCACAACAATGGTACTGACATATTTTAAGACATTCATTTTAGTCTGGGACTAGTTTTAAGCCTTGTCTGTGAAACCGGGGGATGATATGCAAAGTCATCATTTCGTCATTGAAATAAAAATATAAAAGTCATAAATTACATAAAAGTCATAGTTATGACAGTTGAAAATTATAACACAAGCTATAATATGGTTGTCAAAAATCAAAGTCAAAACTATGACATAAAAAGTCCAACTGATTAGATAAAAGAGAAAGATAAAAAGCCACAATTATGACATAAAAGGTCGAAATAAAACTATAAAAGTCATAAATTACATACTTAAAATTTTAAATTATAAAATAAGCCATAACATGGTTAAGTCTCAAATTAAAGTCGAAACGATGACAAAAAAAGTCCAAATGATGAGATAAAAGGATTTTGAATTATGACATAAGTAATGATGAAATAAATAGGTATAAATTATGATATAAATGTTGCATGGTGATTAGATTAAAAAAAAGTCAAAATTATGACAAAGTTTCGACTAACGTTATATAAGAAAATGTCAAACCTTGGAACTCAAAAGATTTCGAAAACGTAAACATCCTTGAGTCCTTTAAATTATCATACTGAGAAAATGTTAAATTGTGGTGTAATTCTTATAACCTCTTGTGATGTCCGTATGTCCCTCTTAATAATTAATTACTTTTTTATTGTTTTATTAGTGTTAATATCTGTAACCTTTAATTTGCAACAATCTATAGGTCATAATTATGAGTACAAGCTTGAAAATCTAAAAATCATATTTAATCACACTAGAAACGATAACGTGAACACAAAATACTGTAAATAAATAAATATAAATACTTCTACATACCTTAACCACAAATTTAGAGGACTGCATTCTGATGAACCACTGCAAACAATGAAAGAGAACGCGCTAAACAACCACAAACAACAAAGAAACTGGTCAAAATATCCATATCTATGAAACTTAAATCATTTCTCGTGCTGAGAACATACAGTTATTAAAACAAATCAGTCGAATGAAATACTCACGTGTTTGTGACAGAAGCAGTTCGTTGGATAGAGCTGAAGAAAAGCCCAAATAAAAACACAAAGCAGGAATGGAGGTAAAAGAGCGCTCACCTACTTTTCTTAAAACATTCTGGGTCATTTAGATATATTTGCCAATATAAAATTAATATTTGTAATTAAAATAAGTCAAAAACAACGATAAAATAACGGTAATAAAAGAAGCTTGAATCAGTTTCTCCCGCCGATGGTTTGAAACAACTCGCCCTGTCATGTTAGGACCCCAGCGAGTACAGTTGTCATAGAGACGCAGTCGAATATAGGCGGCTACATATTTTGCCGGACAGTCATAATCGTTATTTGTAAATTGCGAAATATCCATGATGTTATATATCTTAACAAAATTATAATTCTGCAGTGAATATGTAATGTTGGCGATGTAAAAGCCAATGGTTGTTTTATTGGTTTCTGTTGTTAAATCGTTTTTAACTGGCATGTTTGGTGACCACATAAGAGCATGTGTTACACTGTTGTAAGCGGTTGTAAGACGTAAACACAATCTGCTGCTTGGCTCTTGTCGTACGGTTTGGTTTTTCTTTCTTTATTTCTTATGTTTTGGTTAGTTCGTTGAACAATAAGCTTAATTTTGAGGAATGTAATTTTCAAGCCTCGTAAAGTAAATTGTACACGTCTCCTCGCGTTTTATAAGCTATTGGGTTTATTTTTAAGACAAATCAGCAACAAGAGTTGCCATATGAAAGAATTCTATAATGCCATCAAGTTATTTAGTAGGTTGTTGACGTAAAATACTTGCTTAACTCAAAACAGCATTTCACTAATTTTTTATGACCTCATCATATCATTTGTCTACGCACTATACGTTATATACCAATAACAAAATAATTATAATATATAATAAAATAATTAGTCACGCCGCAGGGCCATTTAAAATGAACTAATAAAGGTAAAAAGGTCGAGAAACTAAGAGAAACGTATATTTTCTCATGTATGCTTTAATATACTTGTTAACCTAAATTCTTGATGTTGGTTTAAATCAAAGATGTTATGCTACTACAATATTGATCAATCATTACATAAAATCATAATATTGTACTATTACACATGTGATCTAATAATTTGTTATTACAAAGCAACTGACCTGTATCGAAAACCCTCTGTGAATTTCTCTGAATGAAACCACAGTATGTCTCGCATTTGTAAGAAGAAACCTGCTGTGTGCACAGATGAACCACTTTCCCACAGTAACATCTGCCAAAAGATAGCTCTCTTGAGAAATATCTTCAGTACCGCCTATGGACCTACTGGCAGACTGAAACAAATACACAACAATGTTGGGGGCCACGTCTTGACCACTTCAACCTCTACAGCGCTTCTCAGGCGAGTAGATATGTCTGAGCCGCTTCTCAAACTAATCTCAACTTCTGTTCAACATCACACCACACGTTACAGTGACTGTGGGCTGTTTATGGGGATTTTCATGCTGAGACTTATTGAAAATACTCAAAAATATAACCTAAGAACAGTTGCTGCAGCCAAGTCATACAAACATCTTGTGGAAGAATGCAACCTGTATCTTAAAGGAGACTCTTGTGGTTGTAAGGTCTCAGTAGACTTCAGCAGCTGTGACTCACTTGTTGCCCTGGCCCGGAGCATGATCACCAGCAAACCAGCCTGCATGTTGGATAGCAGGGAGACGCAGCATATCAGTTCACTGATCGCACAGGCCTTTCTGTATTCAATCCCTTGCGACTCCCCTGATGTGGCCTGCTTTGGAAGGACAGTTACCATCGGCATTGAGGGCCAATCGGTAAGCGATTCTTCTGTTTTCCCTGGACTGCTGGTGGATATCCCTGAGATGCTTCAACCTGCCGATCTTAAGAGACTGGGATCTGGTCCATTTAAAGTGGTGGTTTTCAGTGCATCACTGTCAGGTGATATGTCTGAGGTTGGAGATGTAACATTGGAGATCCATAGGGGAGTGGACCTAGAGCTTGATCTCCTTCAGCAGCTCCTCAAGCTTGGGGAACAAGTTGTTAAGGACAAAGTGAGGTTATTTGCTTGTCAGAAAGTAGTACATCCAGTCCTTCAGCACTACTTGAGGGAACATGGAGTGGTGGTGATAGAGAGGCTTGGACTTGTCCTGATGGAGCCATTTATCCAGATATCAGGTAGATATTTTAGAATATTTATAGAATTGCATTTTTAGCTCTTTTCTAAATTGTTTAATATAGTTATTAAGTTGTAATTTCAGCTCTGTCTGTATATTTAAAAACGAGTTATTCAATGAAAAAGTTTTTTTTTTTATGGAAATACATAATAATCATTTTCAAGTACATGTTAAAAATGTATTTTAATACTAATTTCTTAGGAAAATAAGCACAATTTCAACTTGGTGGTTGTAACTTGGTGTTAATATATCTATCTATAATATATATATTAAGCACCCCACATGTTTTCAACAATAAGACATTTTCCTTGAGCACCAAATCATCATATTAGAATGATTTCTGAAGGATCATGTGACACTGAAGACTGGAGTAATGATGCTGAAAATTCAGCTTTGCCATCATAGACATAAATTACATTGTAAAAAAAATATAATAAAAATAGAAAATAGCTATTTTAAAATGTAATGATATTTCACAGTATTACTGCTGACTGAGTATGTATTTACTTATGATTGTTATTATTTAAAGTCATGACTTATTTAAATTATTTATAGGTTATAACCAGTGTTGGGTAAGTTACTTTAAACAATTACTTATCTACTAGCTACTAATTACATCTTCAACAGTGTAATTATATTACTGTACTAATTACTCTCCTAAAAGTATTGCATTACAAATCCAATTGAACAATACAAGTTTAGACATGAAACTGCTCTTTTTATTCTTTAAAAATAAATATACAAATTGCATAAATTATTATCGAACTGGCCAAAGTATTTAAAGTGATATGGCTAAATTAAAAACATACATTTTATAATTAGACATAAAATTTTGATGTTAAATCCACTATTGTTTGATATAAAATTGTGGTATGTACTGTATTTAATGCAATTACTTAGTAACGAGTTACAACCAACAATGGTTATATTATATATAGGCTTATGCATCATTATAACATCATTGTGCAATACAATAGTACAGAAAAGAAATGTCAGTCGACATTCTTAGATGCTTCATTTTATTTTAATTTCAGGTGCTCAGGCTGTTGCTTCTCCTTGCTCTCCAGTCCCGGCTGAAGCTTACGGGCTGGTTGGAGGATTCTGTTTCCAGTCATGTGGATCCAGAGAGCTGCTCCATCTTCTTCCTTCTAAAGATGCTGCAATTAGCACCTTGGTACTTTGCCACAGAAATGAAACTATGCTTGAAGAACTGAAGGTTCGTCCAACATGTTAAAGTCAAGATTTTTATGTTATTTTAATTATTTTAATTTAAATGCTCAAATAACAGTTTTTATTCCAATTAATTTAAATACACAGTTTGAAACGATTCAACAAATTGAATCAAACTAATGAAAACATCTGTCTTAGATGTGTTTAAAAACATCTCTTTTAATGCTCTCATTATCCCAAGTCATGAGACAAAAAAACATCTTTAGGAAACATAATGGCCAATTAAAATCTGCTTTAAAATCATCACAATATTCACAATGTGCATTTTTATATCGGCAGTCAAATCATCACAGATATTTTTTTATTTATTCTTTGTTTGTTTGAATAGGGACAGATACAAAAAAAAATAGATTATTACATAAAGAACAATCCAATGTCTGTATCACAGTGTTTATTCGCGACACTTGTCCCTAGAAGGGATTTTAACAATTAAGATAATAAAGGAGTAAAAACAATTACAGTTAGTGAATACAATAAAATCCCCAGAAACTAGTTAGCACCAATAAAAATGAGTAAATAAACACATTCACTCAAACTCACACAGATGCACACCTCACATACAAATGGATATACATTTCAGATGGCATGATCACACTGCTGTGGCTGTATGAACCAGGCTTTTGTTAGTTTTGAGATGGTGAACAGTTTAGTTAAAGTCTTTATATTTGTAGGAAGCCAGTTCCACAGATTGGCTCCTTTCACAGAAAAAAAAAATATTTTGGGCAAAAGATGTTTTTAAAAAATGGAACTTTTCAGTCTCCAAGTCTAGCAGCTCTTGTTGATCTGGAGGGTTCCAGCCTGTTCACAAATTTACAAATGGAGCTTTTCCATTACCAGTACCAGCTCGACTCAGCTCGCTTTTCACTCCGTTTTCCATTGCAGACAGCACCGCCACAAATAGTACCCGGTCGTCATAGCGACGCCTTTCGTTCCTCATTGCCCCATCAAGCTCTGGCTGGATCTACTCTTCGGAAGCCAAACAAAGGAAAGTCTGCACCTCCTCATTTGACCACGGCGTATTACTCCAATTCGCCATTATAAAAGTAGTAAGTTTAGTAACTATCTCTGGCCAAACTATTTAAAAATGGCAGGGATATTCTGGACACTCCATCTGGCAGGTGCAATGATGAAGTGTGAATGGTGACGATTCGCTGACCAATCAGGAGTCGGCATTGTTTTCATGTCACATTTTTCTATCGCCTCAGCTCGCCTTTGCTCGTTCAGAACCTCGCCGGAGGTGATACAAAAAAAAGTACCCGAAAGCAGGTAGGCTACAGGTATAACTTTTACACAGTGGAAAACCAAACAAATGCGAGCTGAGTCGAGTCGAGCTGGTACTGTGTAGTGGAAAAGTCCAGTTAAACATTTAAAAATAAACATTTTCATTTTTTTACATATATAAACACATAAAGCACATCTTAGTTAACAGAAGCTCAAACTGTGTGTGTCATGTGCAAGAACAAACCTCATTGGTTCTTGCACTTGCACGCACATTTGAGCTTCCGAAACTGCCTGAATCATATGGATTACTTTTATGTCATTCAATAAATAGACAGAAATAATAGGCGAATATTAAAAATATCTTTATTTGTTTCTAAAGATGAATGAAAGTCTTATGGGTTTAGTCCGACATATAGGCCTTGGTTAGGTTGATGACAGAATTTTCAATTTTGACTAAACTATCAATTTGAGTTTCTGTCTCGTCTGGTCCTTCTTTTTCATATTTGATTTTCTTTTTCTTTTCCTTATCCATGTTATGTTGTTTTATGTCTTACTGCTATTTGTATTAACAAATAACGTGTCCATCCATGCCAGCAATAGAATTTTATAACAGCAAAACCTGTCCCGGGGGTGAAACCTCCATTACCTAAGAGAACCGTTTAAGGGATTATATGCAACATCCTTAAGTCATTCCCTTAGCTGAGGGCCTTAAGTCTCATACTTAAGGGACAAACTTAAAGGTGCTTTATGCAACCGGGCACTTGCTCACATTATCCGCTATAATTCATTCCAAAGGTGTTCTTTTGGGTTGAGGTAGAGCTCAGTCAAGTTCCTCCACACCAAACTCGCTCATCCATGTCTTTACGGACTTTGCTTTGTGCATTGGTGCGCAGTCATGTTGGAACAGGAAGGGGCCATCCCAAAACTGTTCCCACAAAGTTGGGAGCATGTAATTTTCCAAAATGTCTTGGTATGCTGGAGCATTAAGAGTTCCTTTCACTGGAACTAAGGCCCAACCCCTGAAAAACAACCCCACACCATAATCCCTCCTCCACCAAATTTTACACTCGACCATGGAAAGAGCTTCATTCCGTGAGACACTCTACGCAGTTCTTGAGCTAATCTGAAGGCCACACAAAGTTTGGAGGTCTATTGCTATTGATTCTGCAGTAAGTTGGCGACTTCTTTGCACTATGCGCCTCAGCATGCGCTGACCGTGCTCTGTGGTTATAGGACCTACCTCTTCGTGACTGAGTTGCTGTTGCTTCCAATTGCTTCTACTTTGTTATAATACTACTAGCATTTGACCGTGGAATATTTAGTTGGCAGGAAAAATTGACAAATGTTTGTAGAAGCAGTCTGCATGCCTATGTGCTTGATTTTATACAACTATAGCCATGGAAGTGATTGGAACATCTGAATTCAATTATTTGGAGGGATGTCCCAATACTTTTAGAAATGTAGTGTATTTTATGAAGGTTCAATCTATTGCCCCGCTCTACTAATAATCCCTGATTGTGCCGTACAATTCTGTCAGGTTTATTTTGGGTGCAATATTCCCTCTCTCCAAACTATTTATTTTGTTCCTTGTATTTTAAAGTTCCAGTTTTACAAATGATTTGTTCTAAATTTACTGGACTCACATTTATTTATTCAAACTTATTGCATAAATCCCCTCTTTCACTTTTCTCATATGATGAACATTTGTTTAATTTGTTGGACAGATGACATGCCAGAGAGCAGAACATGTGTTGCGACTGACTCTGAGGGAGCCCTACGCCCTGCTTGGAGGAGGCTGCACAGAGACACTGCTGGCCACCCACATCACACACATGGTATTCTGTTCCACTGAGTTACACGTCACATTCAGTTGCATTTCTACAATATTAATTACTAGATGACTAAGTTTTGCTAGTCAAATGGTATGAAAAGATGCATCTGTTATGCATTTCTTGACTGTGAATTAGGGCTGGGCGAAATGACGATGTATATTGTTACCACGGTATAAAATGTCTATCAAGATATAGCTATATTGTCTATATTGCAAAATGTAAATATATATGCCACTCTTAGATTGTGCTCGATGTTAAAAAGTGTTAAGCAGAATAAGCAGTACAAAAAACAAATGCGATGCTCGCCCTGACTGACACGCTGCGTAAACGTGTGCGCAGAAAGCCATGTCTCTTGATAAGCGATCCCAAATTTCACGTCTTATTGTGCTTGAATGGTCAAATGCACACGCTATAATGTCAAAATGCCCATCATGTAGAGTATTCATGTAAACACAGCTGGTTATGTCTCCAGTGAAAGTAAAGTTGGGTGTAAATTGAATGTGTATTAGTATAATGAATTTTATAATAACAGAAGAAACTTGTTTTTTTTAATAACAGAAATGACATAAAATAATTTTAAAAAATGACTATATCGTGAAATAAAAATCCTCATATCATGAAATAAGAATTTGATCATATCGTCTATACATTCATACTGTGAATTATGTAACTAAATTTATTCTACTTTGAATTCTACTTTTTTTAGCAAAATAAAATAGAGAGAAGATGATACATTGGTGTGAACATACAAAAATAAATAAATACAATTATAAGTACAGAGTTTACAGACATTTACCACTTTTCTTTGTTAATTCTGAGGCCATGCTGGTCAAACTGGTTATTTAGTGGTAAATCTACTCATACCTACTTAAAATGTCCACAAGGGGAGCTGTGAGCAACCAAATTTTCTCAACTTTTTTCTATTATTTTTTTTTTTTAATGAATTCAATGCCTTGAGAACAAGAGTTATTATATATTCATATTATCACATTAACATTAGCTGCCAGGAAATGAAAAACAAAAAGATTTACATAAAATTTAAAGTCAGTTTTAAAATGTAAAAATTTTGGTTTGCATTGAGCCCACTGCTTTTCAATCATATTTTTGGTTTTGCTTTTCACTGATTTTCCTAACAAAAATAAATAACTCCATAATATGTTGTTCTTTACAAATTGTCATTCTTAGTATAAAAAAAAGCACGCCACACAGATTTATACCATACACTTCAGTTTTCTATTATTAAAGGTTTCTAAATCTTTCCAAAATAATCTTGAGTACATACAGTGAAAAAAACGTATGCAAAATAGTTTATTTCTCTAGGGCACAAAATTCACTGGTATATGAAGCATAAATCTTTCCAAAACATGAGTAAGTATTTCGTAAGACACTTCCTTAATTTTGTTATTGACAGAATTTGTTTGGCAATTTCCATGCTTTGACCCAAGAGATATTACCAAATAAGACCAAAAGAATCTTACTGCAGGAAAAGACATGGAACAAAGAGCGTTTCTTGTATCCTTATTGCTACATTTTTGTTTTAAAACATTAACATTATCAATAAAAATGTTACCACAAAGATCACCCATGTTGATTTCCACTCAATTGGAGTTATTTAACATCACACTCTTTGGAATCGCCTCAAGAACAATAGCAAACTCTCTTGGTTTAACTGATAATTGAAATTTTCGTAGAATTTCAGTATATGATAACCGATATCCATTGGAATTAAACAACTGTCTTACTAATATAGTCATTACAATAAAAAAATATAGTAATATATATATATATATATATACAGTATGTATATATATATATATATATATATCATACTTAATTGAACCAAGTATGATTGTAGTGATTTGTGTTTTAATAGTACGTCTTTTTTATTCTATATGAAATAATTGTGTAGTGAAAAAAAGTTGCTTATACACCAATTTCCATGCTAGCAGGGCTTGTCTGTAAAAACTGGCCAATTAACAGGAATTTTTCATCAAAAAAATTGCATTTCAACAAAAAGTCTATGCCTCCAAGAGTATTAAATCTATAAATATGAAATGCATTGCAAAGACTTTCTGTAATCTTCAAAAAACTCTAACATACATTTAACACACGCATATCGAAAACGTGAATTTTAAAGCTGTTATGTTTATTTTATTTTTTAAAGACTTGTTTCTAGCAAGTTACTAGATAAGAATGTTTCGGGAGTGAGTGTATGTAATTTACACTGTAAAACAAAAATGTCCAAGTATCGTCAACTTAGGTTTACCACAGACTTTATTTTACTCATAAATTGAAGAACCTCATTATAAAAACACATAGGAAAATGTCAAGGGTGATCAAGGTTTTGACTCTATTGGTGTGTGCCCTGTAATTTCTGCTTGCTGCTGTATTAAATGTTTTTTCATTTTACTTTACAGAATCAGTCCACAGCCACAACAACAGCTGCAGCTCTGGGAGTCTCTCACTCTGAGTTTCTCATGGCAGTCAAGGTATTCTGCAGCTCTCTGCACGCTGTGGCTCTTTCCTTAGAGCATGACGGGCAGGACTGTCTCATTGACCTGACATATGCTCACCGATGGGTCCCAGATATCTACCCCCAAATCAGTGCTAGGCAAACTTGTGGCTGTGGTCTGGTGGAAGACAGATCCGACTTGGAGAAGACCCCACTAAATACAACGTGCCACACTTTCTCTCCTGTTCTCCTGGAAAACACTGACGATCAGCCCAGAATATTAGACTCGTTTTCTGCCAAGCTCAATGCTTTGAATGTGGCGGTCGAGATGGCTAATTTTGTTCTTGATGTAAAATATATAATAAAGGATATCAATTGAAGTATGATGAATGAACTAAATAAAGATTCTAGGTTTGATATATTATACAATAAAATGTTTTTTTTCCAAGACTTCCATAAAGTTGAAGTACACATTAAATATACATTAGACCAAAACCAAAATTTGAAGAACACAGAGAGTTATAAGTCTTTTTTGATGCTGCTAGTGTCAGTGACCTGCATTTTTTGCAAATATTCAAACAGAATATTTAAATAGACTTAAAACTATTTATATTTTTGGCACGTCTTACTTCTTCTGGAAGATTATTCCAGAGACGAGGAGCATAGAGGCTAAAATCAGTATCAACAAATCTTTTACTTCTACTGTGTGGTACTGTTAAAATTAAAGAATCCGATGTTATGAGAGTCCTTACAAGTACATAAACTCAAACTGTAAGTATTTTTAAAAGATAGTCTGGAGCAATTCCATGCAGTGCCTTATTAACTAATAAAAGGTTTTTAAAATCAACACGAAAACTAACAAGTAAGCATTATTCAGTGTAATGATTTTAGTATAGATTTTAGTACTAAGAAGTACTTGGGTGTGGCAAAAGGTCCTGCTTCATCTTTATTGTGCCTTTGGTAGTGTAAAGCCTGGCTCGATCGGCCCGAATTCCGACATCCGATCAGCGGGTAAGGGTCTACGTGCTACTGTTTTCGTGTGGAAAAATATTTTTGATTAAATGCAGTACATTTCTCATATGTATATGAAATAATATCAAAGTCATTTAGAATAATCAAATGTAAGAATATATTATGTCAGGTAAATTTATCATTCCAATTTCATGATCAGTTCAAAGAGATAATCAATACAAAACATCAAATACTCTGGAATAAAGAGAAGACAAACCCGACATGAAGCTGAGAGGCTCATCTGAAGTACAGAAAAGGGCCCTTATCTCTAGTTGCATTTCATTATATAGACAAACCTCATTTCATATGTAAAAATAAGTTCAGTGGAAATTCACCATGATCACCATCCCAGACTTACTGTGGGCAGAAGTTGATTTACATGAAACAGTGTTAGTGTTTGCCAAACTTCTGAGAGCAGGACGGTTTAAAGGGATACTTCAGGATTTAGCATTAAGCTTTGTATTTGAAGAAAACTTGTAGTATTTTCGCATTACCGTGCTTTCCACCCTCATATCCCCCTGAGACGAGAGATTTATGTATTTTTTGTCTGGAAAAAATCTTCTGATGATGCAAAAATCGTCATTTTGCGGCATCTGAAGATTTTTTTGGCCAGAGGCTAAAGACTACAGTCCAGTAGGGGCTATCCCGCATGTTTTCAACCCGCCCATAGAGGGTTGGATCTCACTCACAGAATGTACACATAGTGTCAGCCATCTTTTTTTCTTTTTTTTTTGGAAGCTAAGCTAGCAGGCTCTTGTTCTGTGGAGAAAGCTGAGTAGTAAGGGTTACCATCCTCTTTTTTCCCGGACATGTCTGGGCATCAATGTCTGGGATTCATCTTTTGCTTTCTGTAGTCGGCATTTATTGGTTACATGCACACCTTTTGTTTCAATCTAACTGAATTCATTCTGATAGGTGAATCTGAATGTAGTGTTTAAATGAACCCTAAACAAGTGATCGGTTGATGTGCGTTTTAATATTGCTATGAAAATTCCCACTCCTTGAGAAACGAGACTGGTGCGTCTCACAAGGGTCGCTCATCAGTAATCACGCCAGCAGCCTTGCGCTGTTCTCCCACGGCCCTCACTCGTCCTGCTCACCAAAGTAAACATGATGAATGGCGACTGTAGAACGCAAAAGCTGAATCCCGGACATTTTGGGCAATCTCAAACACATTTTCAGGCAGACTCATCACGGAGACTTACTAGTAGCCTAGACTTGTTGTTTAACTACTGCGCTCTGTTACCGGTAGGCGTGGCCTCCTGGGGCAGCAAGTGCATTCTGGGAGTTGTCTTTCTGGCTTTCTCAGTCGAGAACACTCCAAATTCAAAAATAATCTCACATTTCTTCTACATGAATGACCCATTTTAAATACACATTCATCTTTCCAGAGGTGAAGTATCCTTTTAAAGGGTTAGTTCACCCAAAAATGAAAATTAAGTCATTAATTACTTTTTTTCGCACAAAAAGTAGTCTCGTCGCTTGATAAACTTATAATTGAGCCGCTGTAGGCACATGGAATATTTAAACCTTTTCTTTAATGACTTTATGGGCCGTCAAGAGCCAGTCCCTCGGCAGTCTATCTAGGACTGATCCAGCTCTCAGATTCAATCAAAAATATCTTTATTTGTGTTCCGAAGATGAACGAAGGTCTTACGGGGTTGGAACAGCATGGGGGTGAGTAATTAATGACTTAATTTTCATTTTTGGGTGAACTAACCCTTTAAATATCCCATGTGACTACAGTGGCTCAACTATAAGTTTATCAAGCAACGAGAATACTTTTTGTGCGAAAAAACAAACAAAAACAACGACTTTATTCGACTATTCCTTTTCTTCCTTGTTGGCCTGAAACGAGACTTCAAGAGATTTCCACGACGCATGCGCGAGAACTGAACTGAAGTAGTTGAAGGAGATCGCAATTCTCGCGCATGCGTCGTGGAAATCTCTTGAAGTCTCGTTTCAGGCCAACAAGGAAGAAAAGGAATAGTCGAATAAAGTCACAATTGTGATTTATAATATCATAATTGTGAGTCTGCTCAGGATCATGGAGCATGCTTGGAGCGGTGGGGCTGGACACTCGCTGAAAATGACCTCAACCTCAATTATTCAAAAACGAAACGCCACTGTGTTCATTAAATTTTCTTCTTTAAATGTGAAGTGAAATGATGGATAGCATCACTAAAAATATGATTGTTAGCAATCAACAATTGGTGTAAACACCAAACATGTCATTGTTCAGCAAACAGATCATGTAAACACAAAATCATGCAATTGTCTTGAATGTCTGAGACATGTTCATGTTTTAATAGCACCACAGAGCCATACAGTTTCTAGAAATCAACCAAGTTACAGTTGTCCACATATTAAGCTGGAATGGAGGAAGGAATATAAAATTACACACAGTAACACACAAATATACAAACAACTGCAATCACATACTGTAGAAATAAGTGTCCTTTTTATCAGATTAATCCTTTTTCATACAGGAAGTCAAAACCATCACACACAATCTTGTAACACATTCAAGTCATACATGTTCCTATTTGTGCCAATAATATTGTATGCTAAATCAGGCAATGAAATCCAACCAAAAGGACAGGTGTACACTTTAGCAATTAGGAAAATGAATTATTTAGTTCTGTCAGAACGCAACTACATTTATCTGCTCAGAAGATGAAGGGTATGAGAGATCTTCTTGATCTGGGGAAATCTTTGAACTTCTCATGATAGAACCTGGAACACATTAGAGAAACCACATGTAGTTTTCTAAATTAATCAAATACCATTGAAAACATGTTGAAGACGTACAGTTTAATAATTCTGTGAGTGATTTGTGAATTTTGGTTTACGTACCTGTGATGGTGATAGGCTCTTGGGCCTATGAAGCAAATTGTGAAAAAAGCAAAAGCAAATGTGGGTAAGGACCAGGTAGCAACCGCGTAACCCAGCCACTGTACTATCTCCCCAAAGAAATTTGCACCAGACACGTACTCAAATAAGCCGCCTGCAGATAAAATAAACACATAACTCACTTCAGCATTCATTCAGTGAAGCTAATTGCAGTTTGCTTACACGGACAGAAATAAAGACAGTGAATGATGAGTGTTGCTAACATTAAAAAGACCCTCAAATACCTCTCGGGATTTTATAGGTAATTTCTCCAGGTTTTCTCAGGCTGCGAAGAATGTGGTCACTGTGAATATTGACTCCCATTCCTATGAAGAATATGATCAGGCCTAGAGAAATACAGTTTAAAAATTAGTCTAATAAACATACAATTTTATATAAACATTAATAAGCAATTTATCTAAAATAAAAAAATAATAATAATAATAAAAAGCACACAATTTTATTGTAATTATTTTAGTCAACGAGTTTTACCGGCTAGCAAACAGGCATCGGAAAACCATGTGTTGTTATATGTAGCACAATGCAGCAAATAGTGTGCCTGCAGGAAGCCGTTAATTGAGCAAAACCCCATCCCTAACAGCATGATGTTGAACGGATACGGGCGCCCTTTGGTCAGCAGAGAGTAGATGCAGCTCCTGGAAACCAGAATGTTATTTGTATGTTAGTTCATCTGCCTATAGTGAATTAAGCATTGCTCACATCATTAACCTGCTTTTGATTCAGTTAATTACTCAAATCAAATATTATGTTACATTTCCGCAGCCTTGATTTATTGTCAGCACAGCATGATTGTTAAAGAAGCCGGGATCCAGAACATTCCACCCAGTCCGTTCCCTTTTGTCTTCGGATTAAGGGCTATTTTTCCCTCATTTGTTCTGGGTGAGTTAAAACATACAGGTTTATGAAATGGCATAGCTGAACTTTTTGCATATCAAAAATAAAAAAAAGTGAATGGAAGCAAAATCTCTCAGAGGACATGCCAATGACATTATAAAGTTGCAATGATTCATATACTATCATCCCTTATAATATCTGCATTTTATACTAGTGATCTTTCATTAATGTTGTAAAAATGTTTGTCCCATCAGGCAACAATGCAGCTTACCTTTGGAAGTAATGCAAGCAGAAGGTCCAGAGCATCAGGTGTTTCCCAGTGCTTTGTTTTCCATCCGTGATCAGCATCAAAAGCAGAGGCACCAAGAGAGCGGGAAGCTCCTGGAGGAACCAGGCTAGCCTTGCGGGCACCATCATGGAGCTGCCCGAGGTGTCCACGTAGCGGCCATAGGCAGCGTGAGACTTCCTGAGACATATAAAGTGCATTACCCCACCCAGGATCATCCCCAAACTCAGGCCCTGCACGAGGAGCTCCTGGCACTGCATGGAGGTTGAGTATCTGTCCAAGTCCAAACCAGGTTTGAGCCCACTGTTGTATCTCCCCTCTTAACCCCTCACCAGA